ACATACATTTAGTACTAATGATTTTTTATAGCCAAGCCAGAAATATGTATTTAAAAAGATATTGCATTTATAGAGATTGTATTTATAGAGATTTGATTATATTTAGTTTTGTCAATGAGTGATAAACTTTGGGCTTGTTAGCAAGTAGTGTATAAGAACTACTTCTAAATGACAAGTGCTATGCCTGCAGTAAATGATAAACTCTAAAACTGTTAAAAAAGTAGCATATGAAAACTATCTTTAAATAATAGCTGCTAACTTAGAGTCTCTTTTCCCATGTCTTATATTTAAACTTTATGAGTTTTATACTAATACACTATATTTTTTTTTAGTAAAAAGTTTTTGAAAAATTGTGATTCAAGTGATTGTCAGAAAGAGTTGTACTATTATCATAGTTGTATCTTAATTGATGATTCTCCAGTTAATTAAAAAATAAATATAATAAAACATAACTCAGTTTACTATATAAATCTAATATAGCTTGAATATGAAATTGCTCCAAGGTAAACTTTTTTTTATACTAAGTTAATCGATCTTGTCAATTAATTAAAAGTTGTAGAGCTTATCTTTGCAGTTTTAATAGTAGTTAAAGCGTTAAAATTAGCCTGGTAGGTGCCAAAATATTTTTAAAAAACTTTTTTTTTACTATGTAAACTTCCTTACAAACAATATTATTATTTGACTATTATTTGCAAAGAAGTTTACATGGTAAAAGAAATAATATCTTGGCACCTACCAGGCCAATTTTGATACTTTAACCACCATTAAAACTGCAAAAATAAGCTCTACAACTTTCAATTAATTGACAAAATTGATTAACTTAGTACAAAAAAAGTTTACCTTAGAGCAATTTCATATTTGAGCTATATTAGATTTATATAGTAAACTGAGTCATGTTTTACTATGTTTATTCTTCAGTTAACTAGAGAATTATCAATTAAGCTATTTTTTATAGTGCTTGGATCTGGATACTAATCGGATATCCGGATAGATATCCTATTTCATTTTTTCCAATCCGAATTTATATTTGAATATGTGTTAGTTATCCGGTTTATAATTCGAATTGTATTCAGATTTACAGTTATTCTAAATTCTCGAAACCTAAAAAAATTTTCTCAAAGTTTTCCTGCTTTATCTGGTAAATTACTTAACTTATCGGAAACTATATTGCTATCTTCAGACTGAAGGTTCAAAAATAGCGACATAGTTTTTAGAGTTAGGTAATTTTAATGGACGAAACAGAGAATATTTAGCAGATATCTAATTGGATATCCGGATAGTATCTTGGTTTATAGTCATTATCATAAATTCTTGGATACCTAAAAATTTTTCCATTTTCTTAATCTTATCTGTTTCATCCAGTGAATTATCTAACTCTCTGAAAACTACATTGCTATTTTCGAACCTTCAGCTTGGAGGCAGCCAGACAAAACAGAAAAGATTTTAGAAAACAAGAAAATTTTAGATCCCGAATTTAAAATTTAAACTTCTCTGATTGGCAGATGTTGTTAGCATATAATATCCAGATAAAAAACTGGATTTATAACAACTAAAATAAAAATCCGGATTTATTATCTGCTTTACAAAACTAAAATCTGTTATCCTTTTTATATCTGGATACATCCGGATATTGTAATCCAGATCCAAGCACTAATTTTTTAAAATACTATTATAACAGTTTATATCTCAAGCTACAATCCTTTTAACTAGTTATTTATTATTTACTTCTGCTCTTATAAGGTTTACAACAACTCAGTACTTATATTTAAACTTTTTTTCTTTTTTAGATTTTTTACTAGTCTCTTACTTACTTTTAGCTAATAGCCTAAAAGAGTTGGTTTGCTTAGGCTTTAGATATTTTACTGTTTTTCTTTCCTTGATACATACTTCCAAAACACATATTCTTTTTTTTTAATATAATAGGCCTAATAGCTAGGCTGATATATCTTTTATTTAAAGATTTGATTATTCAATTCTCTAATTTTAATTTCTAGTTTTAAATATAGTCTTTTTATAGTATTATCAAAAATTACTACTATCTTTCTATTTAGAACTTCCCAAACAGGTTTTAGTTACAATATTTTCCTAAAAATAAGCTACTATTTTTGGGCTAAAAATTACACAAAAATTCTCAAAGTAGCTTATTTTAAAAACAAATTAATTTTTAGTTATTTTTTATAGATTTTATAATTTATTGCACTATGCAATATATTGCATCTGTTACACAGTATATAGGATATAAACAAACAACTGGGTTTGAATTATTTATATTATGATATAAACAAACAACTAGGTTTGAATTATTTATATTAGTTTTAATTAATTACTTAATATGCAGAATTCATTTTGGATTAAGTAAGTTCTTTTTTGTTAGTTACATTATAGTTTTGAATTTAAACTTAGCTGTTTGTTTGATCATAATGACAATCATGCAGAATTCATTTTGGATTAGATACATTCTTTCCTGTAAATTACATTATAGTTTCAAATTTGTTTATTTATATTATAATAACAATCTATCAAGAAATTTTTTTTATTGTATTTCTGTGCAGATTTGCAAAAAAATTAAATAATAAATCAAATGAAAATTTGTGCAAACCTTCAAATTTGATGCTACAAATGCAGAAATTAGATGCAATTCTGTAAAAACTTCAAATTCTAAAAAATTTTGCAGATTTTTTACAACAATTCTTCAAAAATTTGCAAAAATGCAAATTTTTGCAAATTTGCATTTATTTAATTTTTCCAATATTGTCCTTATATAAAAAATATAAATAATTTATTTTTTGCTTTTTTGTTATCTCTCTTTGTTATTTATTAATATACTAAATATAAAGGATGTAGTAACTTAGTGTAGTGGTCTAGTCGTCATCCTCTCCAAGCGGCAGATCTAGAGTTCGAATCCCACTGGCGATAATTTTGAAAAATAGGCCTGTGTACGGTTGACAACATTTTATTGGTTGGATTTAAATTAATCTATAATCTTGGTCATACTATCTAGTAATGAAAGCTTCGATGCAATAAATCCAGGGAACCGGAATAACCGAAAACCCATTTGGCAAGTTTCGAGTTTGGAGGTAGTAGTGATCTATGATAGTACCACAGAAGGGCTGAATTCGAACTGGGCCCAAGATCAAAGAACCGAGCAACCAGGTCCTAATAGTGGAGGACATACCAGCTAAACTATCAGGTTGTCACACCAGAAGAAAAGGACATATGCTCTGAAAGTATGGACCAAGGAGAGGGTATCCTTCAGACACCTAAAGCCTAGGCAAACTGACCCTTCCGGGTTGCCGGCTAGAAGTAAGGGAGGGACCAATAAAGAATCTGGATTAGAAGACAGTCTAAATGCGGGGTACTGGAGTTGCTAGAAACCAAAACAAGGGCAAGTAGTATATAATGGGTGTCTGATTAGGAAGGTTGGTGCTTGAGAAATGTCTATAGAATGGCAGCACTCCAAAAGATGGCGTAAGATATGAATACAGAATGGTAGCACAGGTTGAAAAATAAAAAATCAGACACAAATCAGGTACCCGATTTTAAACTGATTACTACCTAATTACCACCTAATTTATGCATATTTTTGTACCAAATTTTTGGTACAAAAATATGCATAAATCAGGTGGTAATCAGATAGTAATCAGTTTAAAATCGGGTATCTGATTTGTACCTGATTTTTTATCTTTCGACCTGTGTAGATCAATATGTACTAATTAGGAAGAAGTTATAGGAACAAGTACGTGAATACATGTGTGGAACATGTACCGCTGTGTTAGGTTTATCTTGAGGATAGACTAGGCCTATATGGGTTAGTAAGTCCTAAGGCAGGGTACGAAAGCCAATATGGGGTGATACCAATATCTACTTAGTTTACACAGGTCAAAAAATAAAAAATCAGGCACAAATCAGGTACCTGATTTTAAACTGATTACTATCTGATTACCACCTGATTTATACATATTTTTGTACCAAAAATTTGGTACAAAATTAGGTGGTAATTAGGTAGTAATCAGTTTAAAATTGGGTACCTGATTTGTGTCTGATTTTTTATCTTTCGACCTGTGTTAGTGAGAAAACCTTCTGGGTTAGAGGGTCAATGGAGATAGTTAGAACCAGATGGTTTAAATGGGTACCCCCCTAGTTGGGGTGCAGGTATGGCAGATAGCGTAGAACCTTTGGGCAGACTACTTAAATTAGGTACTCAAAAGGTGCACGTGTGGCTTGATGTACTATCGTTGTAATTATATATAAAACTTTATCTATACTCTAATAAAAGTTCTCCAGGACAATGAAGGTCATCTTAATATCAAAAAAAAAAAAAAATTAATATACTAAACACATTCACGTATATATCTTTTTTCTTTTAAATGTTTCCAACATACTAATACATGCTTATACTATATATTTCTCTTTCTTTCTAATATATATTTAAATATTCCTCTCATTAGTTGTTTACTAAAACACAATCATACACACTTATACGTTCTTTCTTTGGTCTACTACTTATATATAACTATGGGGGATAAAAATAATGAAAGAATTTTAATAAATCTACCTGATGAAGTCATGGTTAACAATAATATTATTAATTTGGAATATTCTTTGAATAAATGGGCAGCCGTCAATAAAAATCAAGCAAATCTAAATTTGAAAAAAAATTAATACCTTAATTTTCACAGTTCATATCTCGATGAATTTTAAAGCTATCTTGATGATTTAATATTCAAAAGAAAACTTATAATCCAAACTTTTTTTTGAATATTCAACTATTAAGATAGCTTTAAAATTTATCAAGATATGAGCTATGAAAATTAAGGCACTAATTTTTTTTCAAATATAGATTTGCTTGATTTCTATTGACAGCTGCCTAAATTATACCAGGGCGATATTGATGTTGAAGACTTGCCTGAATATAGTAAAATATCTTTTAAGAATGCTGAAATTATCACACTAGAAGAAGGCTAATTATTTGATGATTTTGATCATGCAAAAAAACATATATGAAACTATGCGGAATATATAAGCTTCAAGGTAGTAATAGGGTGAAGTACAGTAATCAAACTAATGAAAATGAGAAAGTAAGGGCAATTTATTGTTGTTATTTTGGTAATTATCAATAAACAAATACTAAAAAGTCTGGAAAAACAATAAGAAATAGTTGTTAATAGCATATAGACCTTTCAAAACCTACAAAAAATAATCCAAATTTATATGTTTTTGTTACAACATTTGAAAATAAGTATAACCATGAAATGTGTTCCGAAATACTGCAGTTCGAAAAGCTAAAGGCATTTACAAATGAGATTAAGGAAAACACTGAGTTTTATGTAAAAGAATGTAATTTTGGTGCAACAATAATTAGACAAATTTTTTAAAAAAATACTTCTTTTAGCCAATTTATACAAAGGATTTCTATATAGAAATTTAGCATTATAAATTATTACAGAGTACAATAAAGCTAATACAGCATGATTGTATAAAGAGTTATAAGCTAAAAAATATGAAGATCCAAAGTAGTTTGTTGAAGTGACTTGAAAATTGGAAACAAATACCCTCACTAGAATTTTCTAGATAAGTTCAAAGCAAATTATTTTGTAGCACAAGTTTGGTGATTCAATTGGCTATGATAACACTTCTGAAACAAATCAGTATCATATACCATTATCACTTTTTGTTATCATAGATGATAATATGAAATCAAGAATAGTTGCTTAGGCTTTACTAAGTAATGAAACAAAAGAATTATGCCAGTGGGTTTTACATATAACAAAGAAAGCAACGAGAGGATAGATACCTAATATATTTGCTACCAACGGAGATTCTCTATAGAAAGTGCAATAATGACTGAATATTTTATGACTCATCATATTCTTTGTATTTGGCACCTAAAGGAAAATATTAAAAAAGTACTTTGTGAAAACTTGGTGAATCATTTGATGATTTTTATTCCTCTTTTTGGAAATGTTGTAATGCTAATACATTTGATACTTTTTACTATTATTGGAAAGAAATAATAAATAATTACCCAACAGCATGCACTTATTTTCAAAATCAATTGTATGATAGATGTAGATTGTGGGCCCATAGATTTACTACTATATTGTTTATACTTGGTATCAAATCTACATCATTTGTAGAAAGCCAAAATGAATATCTTAAATGCATCATTGAAAGTAGTAATATATTACTTTATGAACTTGAAAAAGTTCTAATAAATAGCACTGAAAATAAGATAAAGCAAAAATGCTATGAAGATTTAATTAGAAGTGTCCTATCTAAGGTTAATACTATAATAATTTTTCCTCAAATTAAATTACTTATCAGTCATTACTTGCTTCTAAAGATTATATAGTTTTTAGTCAATCAAATGAAGAAGAGTGTATATTACCTTTTATTTCATTCTAATATTAAGAAAATTCAAAACATGACTATAAATAAGCTATCTGAAAGTAATAATTATAAAGACAAACCTGATAATGTGTTTTTATATGCTAAACTCCTTCTTTAGCAATTGGATTGTACCAAAATTAAAGAGGTATGAAAAGTTTCTAAAGTTACAAGACAAAATGTAACCATGTAGTTTTTTGCCTTGTCAACAGATCATATAATTGCATTTGTTTGTTATAGCAAAAACAGGAACTAGTTTGTAAACATTATTTTTATCTTCTAAATATTACAAAGGCAAAGCATAGCGGACATTCAATTTGATTGGCTTGAAGATCCCTGAGTTATGCAACATAAATAAAATTTTTAAAGTAACCCTTACTATGAAAAACCACATTGTCAATTGGCAACTCATAGTTTTATACAATAAATTTTTTTTAAAAACACTTTAAAGTATTTTTTATCTCTTTGTATATCTTTAGTGAAAAAAGATCAGTATAGATTATTTTCACTAAAGACTTTACTTAGAGAGCAAATTTAGGCAAATTTAGGCAAGTAATATATAGTGAATGAGGTAATAAGCTTTCAAATTCGAAAAAAAATTAAATTAAATAAATGCAAAAAAACTCTTTCCCGTTTACCTTTGTAAATCATAATTGATATTAAAAAGTAAACAAATCGTTAGTTATTAGTTCAAGTTATAATTAAATTTCAAAGCAAACTTAGCCCTCTGGGCAAGAAGTATTCTCTTGTACATTTTAATTATTCATCATAGGCAAGATACAGATAAACTACAATACTCTAAAGACCAAAACAGCTTCAACTTTGGCTCTTTTGGAGCTCAGCAACAGTATGTCACAACAAAAAACATACTTCCAATCGTTTTAAGAAAAACTATTTGGTACAACATCAACAGATGACAACCCCACAGACCCTGAAGCACCTCTCTAATTGTTTACACACCCAACACCGCAAATAGTAGCTAGTACTTCTAAAAGCCCTAATCACACTAAAAACCGCCACTCCAACCTTCACCACAATCCCTATACTAAGCCCAAAAGTGGGCAATCTGGCTTACCCCAGAATGCAGATCAGTCTGAGTCAAATGACACAACAATGACATCACCTAACCAACCTCAAAACACAACAAACCCAGAAAAGGTAGATCCTGATGCCGGTGCCCCAATCCCAATGCAAATATTCCCATAATCTGAACAAAACAAACCTAGTTTGACTGACCCGCATTCTCCAACTGACTCGGAACCACAACCTGTCCCTATGGATACTGACCCTACCCATACACCTACCTGGGTACCTGTTGGATACTGACTTAAACAATCAACTAACTCCTCGAAGCCCCGATCCTATAGCCAAACAGTCCAGAAACCTTCCAACCTCACTACCGACCTGTCCACAACAACCGCTATCCTCTGGAACCAACGTATATTAGAAGCACTTGAAAAAAGAAAATCACCATTCAACACACAACAATGGAGCAATGACTACATCTTAGAGGCCTTCAAAGATGAAGCGAACTTAACTGATTTTCTAAAACATAAAGCGAACTCAAAACCTACCTGCCATAATTTACCTTCTGTAATCAACTCAAAGTTCAACTTCTTTGACACAGCTTTCTTTAAATCATTCACACGTAATAAAGAATCAATCCCTTCACACCAATGGGAATTTGAGACGTTATACAATATGGCTCTTGAAAAGTACAAAAAACAACATGATACTCGCTTCGTTAACAAATATAATCAAAATCAAATTATAGAGAAACTTAAGGAAAAAATAGCCTTAGACTATATTACCAACATCGATTTCCTGAAAACAAATCCTCACAATATAACTAGAAAATTATTCTACTGCACTAATTTCGCTCGCATTAATCTTCCCACAAGCTTTGAGGACACCCGAAAGATCATTAGAGAAGTCTTGTCTGACAGACTCGAACTATTACTACCAACTGTTAAAGCAATTCAAGAGGATATACTATCCCTACTACCATTCAAGTTACCTATTCAAAATCGCAATCAAACCAAAGCAATAGTCGCTGCACTCCGAAAAATTTATAAGTTCGAACTTCTCCCTAAAGAATACTTTGCAACTCAACACACCAAACTCCTGGACAAATCTTTAAAACTTGACCCATCAGTTAGAGATTTATTTCCTATTAACGAACATGCTGCCTTACTATTCCTCTCAGAATATCGCTGTAAACTTTCAAATCTTTATAAACTTGATAAGCACCTACCTAATAGCTTTTTTGACCTACCTGCCCCTAAACCCCCTCTTTCCTCTACACCGCAAGAACTACTACACAATCTACGGCAACACTTCCCATGTAATCCTAAAGACTCAGACGAACTAAAAAAGTTTACTGAACTTCTTCACCCTCACTATGGCTTCAAAAGATTGCCTAATGATTATATTATCCAAAAACCATGTCTACCCTTAGACCCTAACACAGTCAAAACTAAACTCAAATACTTATATCCTATTGAGAAAAAAACTCTTGCCCAATCCTTTTTAGCTGAAATAGAATACCATTACAAGTTCACACTACCTCTTCCACAAACATACATGTCAGTAAACCTTACAAACAAACCAGACTTACCTAACGACCACACCCAGGTCCGTCAACTTAACTTAACAATACCTATAACATCATCTAAGCTACTTGTCGAAATTTCCCATGATCTCAGAAAATACTACTACTTCTCAAGATTACCTGAAAGTTGGATCAATATTCCACACAATACCAAATATCTTGACAAACCACTAATTTCCCAAAGCATTGAGGAATTCAAATCACAATTAAATCATATTAACCCAGAATTAAACAAATTATTACCTATCTCAGACCGAGCCATCGTTACTGAAAAAGTCAAATCTCACTTTACCATTAACTTAATCCCTGAATATCTACTCAAACTTCCTGATCTTCTGGACCCAGAATAGCAGATTTTCGACAACTATAACCCAACCAACCTATATTCTAAACCAACTAATCTTAACAAAGAATTAACCAAACTTATCCCTATTACTACCTATACTGCTACTTTATCCACATGAGTCAACATCAGAAAGTTTAAAAAGTATTTGAAAACTATTAACTAATGCTAGTTATTATTTAACACTAAAAGAAGTAGGGAAATGAACCCTATACAG